TTATTTTGATATATCACAGTGAAAGATTTATCGTCCTCTTTTTTTTTTTTTTTTTTTTTTTTAAAAAAAAAAAAAAAAAAAAAAAAAAAAAAAAGGAAACAGAATCAAAGTCCAAAGTCTTCTGTGCCAGACAAAACAAAAACAATAGTGTGAATTCTCCAAAGAATGCTGGTATTTATTCGGGAGTGTGTTGCTGTGGGAATACACCTGTTCCTATCACAGTGCACTATAAACATATTCAAAGAAGTTAATGTGAGTAGAAATTATTTGAAATAACTTTTTAAAATCCATACATAATATTAATATTGTACATATTAACTGGATAGTATGTTACGTTTCCATATATGTATACATACACAATACACATCATGTGATGTAGTATATAAACCAGGCTAACCTGGTTATTTCTTCAAACATTTAATAGTGCTTTATGGTAAAAACATCTAAAACTCTTTCGTTTACCTTTTTGAGATGTATACCCGTCACTGCTCAGCGGGCTGTGCGATAACGCACCACAACCCTTCTCTCTCTGTCCGTCAGTCCTTGTTGATCAACTTTCCTTATCACCCCTACCACAAGCAGCTTTTTCAAGGCAAAAATAAGGAGGATTACAGCAGATGTTTTAAAAAGCTAAGCCTTGCCCACAATAATTAAACTAAACTGGCATCAGATGATGTTTTGTTTGTTTTGTTGGTTTTTTGGGGGGGAAAGGGGAATCTCTGTACAGCTTGTGGTTCTGACAGTCTTGTTGAGAGCTACTGTCAATCATGTACATAACCTTTCCTGGGTTTATTTACTTTTCCTCTGGTAGGGTTGGCACAGTGACCACATTTCATTGTGAACACTTATTTATTTTTCCTCTTAATCATAGGCCAACTAAATCCATCAGGGACACTCCACAGTGTCTGAACGTGACCTCTATCTCACTGTAATACTAAAACACACACTCCTGAGTAGACGTTTAAGATTATAATGAGATACACAGAGCAGTATGTAGATCTACATTGACAGAGCCTGTGTGAGAAAACATGTACTGTGCAAATAAGGAGAAAAACATGCTATATGAATAAAAGCCACCATCCTCTGTGCAGAGGAGCCATTTGAACTCCTAAACTCTCTCTGCTGGCCCACTTCCTCCCTTGGAAACATGTTTTCTTAAACAGTCTCTGCATCTGCTACTATGTGTCTCTGTTCCGTCTGTATCTCAACAAAAGGACCTAGAATCCCTTGGCGTGCCCACCAAAACCCTATATCAGCTTGTGTCACACTGACTTGCAAACAACCCTGATAGAAACACAGGCTTCATCCTACTGCACGTAGGAGACACCTTCGTAGGAGCCAGCAGGTGGCACCATCTGTGACCTGTTGAGGGCAGTTTGATGTGGTTAAAACTTATTTGTAAGTACCTATATTCCCATCACCAGCAGAGAGCTCTCTCTCTCGCTCTCCCCCCCACACACATATGCACACACACTTGAATCATGGTTCATTTAAGTAGAAGAATTTTTAAGTTTGTGAATTGTCACTTGATGTCACTTGTAGAAAATGCCCGCTCGAAACCTTCTTCAGTCCCACTTAAAAAGGAAAGAGGTTATTTGGAGATGGCAATTTTTTTTTCATTCCATTGCATTACTTCAGGGCCGAAGATCACAGAAAATGGAAATTAACACACTTTGGTGTCAGAGGTAGGCAGAGAGCACTTGTACATAATTCCTCTGCAGAGGAGAAAGCAGAATTCACAAGACGAGCATTGTCTGTGCTGCTCCCCAGGGGATAACACTGTGCCAGAGGCAGTGAATGTTATTCAGTGCTCTGGAGCCCGAGACAGTCACATCAGCAATGTGAACCTCCTCCTCTACACACTTCAGAACACGGGGGATATTATCCCCTCTCAGATGGAGCAGCAGAGAGCCATAGTTACACAGCCAACCCATCCTGTGTGTTCCATAAAGAGCAACTGACTAGATTTCCCCAACTGGACACACCTTTCCTTCTCTTTTCCTGTATTGTCCAGGGTGTAAGAGAAATAGAAACTGCAGCTATGGCCTGACATGAAGCTGCTCTTCCTAAACATTCAATAGCAAATGCCCTAGTCCTGGACATTTTTGCCTCCTTTTAACTTGAAAAAAAAATCCTTCCATTTCTCCAAAGCTCTAATTCACTATCAGTTCCCTATTTTGTTTCTTTAGTCAAAGATCTCATCATAACAATGGTAAGAAGTGTAGACACAGCTGTATTGTGTGGTGCAGTCCACTTGGGAAGGAGAACAAGTGAATCTGGCAACAGCTGTTGATTTTGGATAGCTCCTTTCCAGAGCGGGTTAACCGGACCCTGGTATGGCATTGGCCTCTCCCTTGGGTGTGGGGTTTACTTAACTTCCAGGGATGTGCTGAGACTGCCTTCTATCTTACAGTTATTACCCAATACAGAAGAGGGATTTGATTCGGACTCTATCTCTAAGCCATGTCTCATTGGGTGGGTCAGTTTTCAGTGCTTTATGAAGGCCATTAGTGTGACGACCTAAGAATCAATGCAACATTGGTATATCCAGCAGGAAACTGCAGATGACCCGTGATTACGCTGTCCTCCTAACCCAAGCCTTTCATACCTAGTAGGTATTCTGACCCTAAAGGCTAGCACAAGTTAGCCTCCATCCCCTTTAGAGTCCATCTTCAATAGTGCTAAAGAGATAAGGGTTAAATATTTGGCTTTATCCTAGAGATAGTTCTATTTATATGATATAAGTAAAGGTATTGACCAATTAATAGAATCTTGACTAGCTGCAACAGGTAATGGCTATTCAACCGTGTCTTACATGGGCTAACTCTAGACCCCTGTGCAACTGGATTATCCAATAGTTATTTCTCTTCCTGCTTTCATGGAATTTTTTATATCCTCTTACCATATTTAGAGTGATACTGACTACATGACGTCTTATAAGGGGGATGTGGTTAGAAAGGACAGTGGGCCGTGACAGAGCAGAATTTCTGAAAACATTACAAGTCTGCATCAGCCCCAATGAGGACAGCAAACCCTAGGTAGGAATTGCTGTTTCAAGTCAATCAAAATGGAAAAGTATGCATAAAATAGACTTAAGTCCAACTCATACGTAGAGCATCATTTTCACTGCCAATTTGAATGACATGAGCAAGAAATATATTGTTTTTATGAACTGCTCACATGCTGGGGATTGTGTGATAGATTATTAGTAAAGTAAAAATTGTTGCAAAACCTTGAATTTTCTCCAAATGCAGCCATGAGTTAGGGTTCTTTACTAGGACGGTCCTGGGTAACTAAATTCCCATTTCTGGACTGGTTTTATTTTGTACTGTCAGTCTTCTGGATTAGCGTAGGAATGTCTATGTGGGTAAGAGGAGAATGTAGCAACTTTTCTGATGCAGGGTTGGATGCTGACAAGGGAGGAATCTTGAGTAGATACCAACCAAAGGACACCTGGAAAACGTTTGGCAGTGAGAGTGGGTTATCACCGCCTTAGGTGAAGACAGGCTATTGTGCATACAGTAAATGCAATAACGCTTTTCATGTGTGCCCCTCCTATGCCATCCTTGGGCATGGGGCATATATCGTGGATGCCTCTGCTTCTCTTTAGAGATACAATACGACTTTTGTATCTCTTTAGAAACAAAACCATCACACTGAAATTAGCCCCTTTTTCAGCACTATCAATTGAACTCATGCATCCATGCATTCTAAAGCAAGTGTCCTACCACTGAGCTGCAGTCCAGGTCCTTTTAGAGTATTTATTTTAAGACAGGGTCTCACTGAACCACCTATCCTAACCCTGAACCTACCCTGTAGCTCAAGCAGGCCTTGAATGTGCAATCTTCTGCTTCAACCTTCCAAATAGTTGGGATTACAGAGCTACACTACCAGGCCTGGCTTAAATTAGGCTGGTGTATGTGTGTGTATGTGTGTGTGTGTGTGTGTGTGTGTGTGTGTGAGTGTGTGACAGCAGAAGTGCCTGACTATTCAAAGCATCATTCAGGCTACAAGGAAACTGGCATAGCTCCTAAAATGACTGTTCTCTTTGTGAACAGAAGTTGAGGAAACTGCTCCTAGAAGAAGGTAAGAAATGACTCTCCCATCTCACCGCTTGCTCGTTTTTTTCAATTTGACTGAATAAACATTGAAAATTTATAAATCTGAAGCTAAAATGTGATTAATTTCTTGAAGCTAAAATGTGATTAATTTCAAGGCAAGGATTGAAGCCTCACTTTCTGAAACAATGAAAATGAACACAGGGGAATGTTTACTTTGAAAGAGGGCCAACACTGAAATAGTTACGCTACGCTTCTGAACAAATAGGGTACATGTCTATCTGGAAACTTTCTCATTCTTCTCACTTCCCCCAAGAATGAGCTCTCATGACAATTGAATTTAGGCAGGTACTTTCTTTGTTCAGAACAACAAAACCAATAGTGCTGCCTGTTTCTATTCAATAAAATGTTACTGACTTGAAATAATCATACACATGTTAAGATGGAATTTAATTCGGTCTTTATGTCATATATGTAAGTTTATTTCAATTTTAGAGATTTATTACTGTATGTGCATGCATGTGTGTGTGTGCGTGCATGTGTGTGTGTGTGTGTGTGTGTGTATACACATACATGCCTGCCTGTATGTACCTGTAGAGGTCATAAGAAGGTGTCCAGTGCTCTCTATTGCTCTCACGTATTTTGTTGAGCCAGGGTCTCCCCATAAACCTGCGACTCCTGTTTTCTCAGCTGGGCTGAATGCCAGCAAACCCCAGTGATCATTTTCTTCTCCCCTTGAAGCTGGGTCACGGGCATGTGC